CGGCACGATCATTGAGGAGTGAAAAGCTTCTCTGCATGATATACGAATGTAATTCAGTAACGATGGCGGCCACCCACCACGAAGCCCAACGAGGGGACGCTACAAGGTTCATGATACGCGAAACATGCAGACCCCAGCCGTACACTGCTATGATAACCTAATGCGCGTAGGCCAAGGTTGGCTAGTTGCACAAGGTTAACTCAAGCCACCCATGAAAATGGGGAAGTAACAGAAGAAATTAGAAGACAGGATAGATTTAAAGAGGAGAAAAGACAAAGGTGTGAGGGAGAAAGAGATAGGAAAAGGAGACTGCCGATTTCCCCTGGGTGGGTCAGCCCAGGGGTGCCGTCTAAATGAAGCCGGGGCCAAAGGGGTGTGTTGCCTCTGCAGGGGGGCCTTAAAGGTCTAATCACCCAGCATCGGCTCAACCCCCAGGATCCCCTTTTCCCCTGGCACGGCAGAGCCACGCACGGCTAGGCGTGGGAGGGAGTCGTAACTCCCCCGTTAGCTCGGGTCGATCGCTGAGTGGTTTTGGGGCCCTTTAAGCCATATCATCAGCCTTTCTTTCTGTCATTACCTTTACTCGCCAGGATGGCTCTCCTTTGTCGCGGGGGTGTTGTAAGGAGGAAGAAGAACAATACGCCGTGGTGGGCCATCTCTTTAGCTAGAAGCCTCGAGCGCGAGCTGTTGGCCCTAACGCTGTGGTTCCTGTGTTGGTCATTGCTGCCCGCTTTTAGTATAAATAGACCTGCTGTGAGAGTGCTGTTTACGCCAATAAACTCCATTTCACAGCGAAATTTCATTTATAGATCACAAAATTTGATAAGATTTGATGATTATGACTCGTACTTTAATCCCAGCAAGCGCGTGCATTGAACTCTTGCTAACTCTGCCGTACCTGCTTGCACACTGAGTAAACGCATTTTCTTGTATATGATGCGATCAAAATGTACAGAGAATTTGGAGCTTAAGGGGGGACATGGGTCTTAGGGCTCTCTCATTTACTTTTGAACCAAATGTGACAAAAGTTGGCATGCTTACTTAGTTTGTTCTCCGGATTCTAAAAATGTAGTTATTTTTTTCTGTAGCTTCATTAGTTAATTAAATAATCAAGATAACAATTTCTATTGTTCTTACCATAATAGAAAAATAACCACCTGTCAAAAATTTATAAATACCATAGGGATTGACAGTAGAAAGCATAAGACATGCAACATAAGAAGCACTTTTTTGAATGGGTCATTATTCTTACTTTACAGTACACTAAACTTCATAGCCCTGAATGTGGCCATTGTGTGGTCACACAAAAGACTAGTTTGAAAAACTTGCATCAAGAGAAATCAAAATCTGCTTCCTATGTTGTGTGCTCCAAACATATAGCTTCATGCTGCAAAATAAAATATTCAGCTATCTGTAATAGTTTCAGATATATTGCAGTAATTTTCATGCAGGGTGTACAAAATTGACATATTGAAAAAATGAAGAAAACAATGAATTCTAACATTTTTAACTGTAAAAATGTATGCACTTATAATTACATAGCCATTGGCATGTAAATGAACGCTAGAAAGCCTAAGGAGTGTAATGCTGCAAGCTGATCGAAAATTGAACGGATACTTCTCGAATTACAGCACAAGCACAGTAATGTTCATTGCATGTAACCAAATACAAAAATTTTTATATTAAAATAAAAAAAATGAAGCTGCCCATTAAAATAGGCTCCCAGCATTGTTTTTTGTGCACATTGAGCTACATTGTGCAAAAACAATTACAGCTCTAGCTGTACTAGGTCCACTTTTACCGAACAAGCAAAAGAAAGTGGTCAAAATCTGTGCTTCAAGAATAATGCTGTTAAAACTTAATTTCGCCGTTCCAAGGAAAAAATATCATGGCACACATACTTTTAGTCAGTTAATATGCACCGGAAATGTAATAGGACTGATTGTTTGTACGAGCGTGTCGTTTCTTCTAGTCCTGTAGCAAGTTGTCGCCGTGTGCTCGTCTGCCACGAGGCCGCTTATCAGTTCGGTGACTGTAATGACGGCGATGTGCGACAAATGTGCATGCGTCATCCACGATTCGACGAATAACGTGGTGATGTTTTTCGGCTTGTCGAGAATAAGTTACCCATAAGTGTCGCGAACCAAAGTTGCTCCCTCGCTAATCAATTTCGAGGCTACACGAGTGCCGAGGTGTTAGTTTCCTTTTCACGTAAGACTGCCGCATTTTCGAGCGGAGATCGCGACAACGTTGCGAACACGTCATTAAAAGCAGTCTACCTGTTGCCAGTAGCCTCCATTGTGGGGGCCGCGAGCATGTTCACTGCGAACGGATTGACTTGCTGTTGTTGGTCGACGCGCGGCGTACTCCACTCTGACGACCCGTCGTGCAGCTCAAGGTCCTTTCGTCAGGCAGGGGGAACCACGACATTGGCGGGTTTAGCGATAAGACTGCGCTTCCGTTCCGTCACTACAAAGATTGATATCTCTGGTAGCTTCACTTCTGCTTTTTACTTGCCGTCCTTCAACTGATGAGGCTGCAAAACACAGCCGTTCTCAGTAACGTTGTCGGCAACCAACGGGCTCGTACGTGAGTTAGGCCTACACCGGTGACTCGGCGACCGCCGTTGACCACGTTGAGGTCGTTATCCTCGTTGTCCTGAGCCATAGCGGGGATCTTTCTGAAGTTCACAGCGAACGAACGACCACCACACCCGCTTCACAAATTACTGTAGCACAAAACTTCTTTACTGCCGCAAGCAGTCAGTAGCACCATGACAAAATGGCGCATGTCCGTGCGCGTCACAATGGTGAAGCAGACGCCGAAAGCGCCCCTCGACCCATCGGATGCCTAAATTTGGTCACGTGCCCTAAGCAGCCAATTGAATCCCGCGCTAGTGCTTCTCGATGACGCATTTTCGCTGAAAAACCAATGAGCAAGGTGAGCCAGCGGTGGTGGGAAGTTGAAGATGAAGAACGACTCTTCCAAACGAGACCAAGATGAACACAATAGCTCGTGTGTAACGGCAACAGTTTGGTGCGAAAAAAGCGCGATTTTAGAGTCAATTTGCGCTCACATTCGTCTCACAAAAATGTTATAAAGTGATTTCGCGCCAGAAATAATGACGCGAGAAGCTAGAAACTTCTCAGATAAGTGCGAAAATAGGCACAGATTTCAAAAACGTCAGCTTCAAAAAATCAATTTTTTTGCGATTTATGGCCTTCTAAGACCCGTGTCCCCCCTTCAGCCTGGGTCCACGTTATACGAGAATTTTGGTGCACGAGTTGGCTTCACGGCACAACTTTACAGCAATGCAAATAAGGTGGCCTTTTGTCAATGTGCGGGTAGTCTTTTTTCCTCCCACAGTTTGCGGTACCAGTTATATACACGGGTGGGTTATATAGAATAAAATACAATATCGGGTGACCTTTCGGTCGTGCACCGAGTGGGCAGCATCGCGAACGAAGGTGCCGAAGTTTTACTAGAGGCCAACTGATAACTGTAAATGAAAGTGATGAAGCTCCGTACTACCGTGGCCAAAAAGTGAACGACAGGAAAGCCGTAACGTTTCGTGTCGTTATATGGCTTTGTTACCTTCAATCCACAGCTGTGCTATCTGCGTACCTACGAATCGTATTTGCTATCGATGAACAAGACAATAGTGGCCGCGGTTTCCTGTGCAGCAGTTGCGGCAAACAGTAGTTTCGTTTTCAATCTGTGCGCGCTGCTCTGGCTGTGCGCGGAAACTGCACCATTGGTATCTTTGTTCGCATCCTTATGGCAATAAATATTGGGTCAAGTCGGTGCGCATTGGCTGAGCACGCACTTTCCTGGTCACCCATGATCGCGTTCGACACAACCATATTTGAGTTCACAGCAGTTGCGGCAGAACGCAGATACACTGGGACTAGGTGCGCTCTGCTCGCGTGTGCGTCTTCATGATCGCACGGCTAGCTACGACAAGTGGTAGTTTTCTTTTGAGCATGACGTCAAAAACACATGGCGGGGATTCTAGAAGATCACAATACTGCTTCAATGAACATGTACATCAAATCCACCGGCAGCATTATGATGGATGTGCGAGCTGTCACCGAGCATCTCAATAGCGATAAATTTAGTGGGTGCGTGTGGTGGCAAAAAGCGTGTTTTCTATGAAGACGCGGTTGCTGCGATACGGCCGTGTGCTATGGATGTCACGAGTCGTCAAGAAATGGCTCAGTTGGTAGTGGAATTTTGCGGAAATCATAGGCAAGTTTCTTTTTCTTATGTGGCAGTTATCGCGAAAATTTCGTTAAGGTAAGAATATTTAGGAAAAGTATTCGTTGTCACGACACATTTTACACATTGCTTTTTTGGGCGGCTGACAGGGAGTCGAAAATTATTTGTTGTGGTGGAAATTTTGTTTCAGCGGATTTTGTGATAGCAGTATTTGACTGTATTAAAATTTGTGAGTCGCCTATTGCACAAATTTTGCCACTACTATAGTGCGGTTATAAAAGTTTTTATTGCATAGAGCTTTGTTAAAGAATGTCTAAATGTCTGAAGAAAATCTAAAGAATGCAGGCATGTTTTCCTTTCACACACTAGTGATCAAGGATATCTCGTGAATTTATACTAATTGACTGACACGCTAAGCTACGAGACTAACTCATTTGCAAATGCGTTTCTAGGAACTTAAGGAGCAACGGTAGCTGCGCTATATCTAACGAAAAAAGTATTTACTTGATAATAAATATCTTGGCATACCATACATTTTTTCCCTTCCATATTTGGTGAAAGAGTTGTTAAAACCATAGTTTGATTGTTAATAAAATAAGTGCTTTCTCAGCAATTCTCCTCTTGCATTCCATACATTTTCTAGCGTTCATTAGTGTTTTTCCAACTGCCACATAACGCAGCAGAACACCATGTTGAAGCAATGTAGAAAAGGTAAGAAAGTATTGAGTGGTTCAGATACTCCTGTTGTACAGCTGATAAACAATGCAGAGCAGTGCACTCACCTTTTTGTAGACGAAATCAATGGGACAGCCCATATTGATGTCAACAAAGTCCACACTGCATTTTTCTTTAAGCAGTTGGGCACAGCGTGTCATCACATCCGGATGTGCTCCACACAGCTGCAACAACCACAGCGTTGAAGTTAGGAAACTGTTAACCGTTTAATGCCTGAACTATAAAACGACTAAACAAAAAAAATATTGTCTTAATTTTCCAGCAATAATAGCAAACTTTAACTGACTCCACACTTACATTATCGAGAATGCTACCTTAATACATACTTTTATGTATGTCATGAATGCTACCTTAATACCTACTTTTATGTATGTCATGAATTCTCCATATGCTACAAAAGCGAGGACCTTGCAACAAAAAAGGTACTTCCGAACAACGTAACATGTCGTGAGCCATCTCTCGGGTGCGCACAACCAAATAAACAAATTATCGAAGAAAGAATCTACCTCCCCCTTGCAAGAAAGAACGAAGAAGTTAGGGCTCTTGCACGCACTTCGCGCACTCCACCATCAGCAACAAAATAATTAGTTCTTAGAATAAAATACCTTACACGAGAAGGTGCTAGATTTTTCACGACGCAAGCTACGTTCTCCGTGAGTAATTGACAGCCAGCAATAAAGATGCACGCATTTCTTGACTTGCTTGCTTGGAATTCTTCGGTATGCAGCGACTTCGCGATACTTGGCAGTAAAAGGTCAAGATTGCTTGTCTTTTTGGGCGTTCCCGGTTATACAGATACCTTCGTGGCCCCACCAAATGCTGTATTCGCAACATTTTGCTGTGGTCGCACGCTCCGCGACATGGCAAACGGCGAGAGCCATGATCCAGTGATCGAATGAAATCTTGTCTGGCGACAACGTGGGAACCTAATGTGGTAATAATGCAAGAGCGTGTCCAGTGTGCAACCATGCTCAAACCACACCGTTAAAAGCATCAAAAGCACGCTGTTTTTTTTTTTTTTTTTCGGCACACCACAGAAAAAGCAATAGGCTCTCCAACAGTTTCAGATGAAAAACTTCCGGCCAATAAAATAACGCACACAGGAAACGAAGAAGGAGACAGGAAAGAGGCCAGACTACCAACTGTTTATTCACATATGCGTGGCTCAAGTATATATACTCATACGGTCACATGGTGAAGCTAAGTGCTCTTTAAAAAATAACCAAAAATTGCCCAAAGTAATAAACTGACTCATAATCATTCAAAGCTTTCTTCGCTCTACTAATCGCTACAGATTACAAACAAGATTCTAGGAACGTGTTTTCCTTCCTGCGCAGTGTCACGGAGCTATCGCTGCAGCATGCTTCACCACTCTTTGCAATATGAAAAGCTTCCAAAATTTCCCGTGCCAATTTTTCATGGCTTTTGCCTAAAATCTTGATTTCGTTCAGCAGTGGCTTACAATTGCACTGTTTACAATGAAGGGCTAGATTGGAGCCTGTGCCTTTCTCAAGTGATTTGAAATGTTCCCAGGCCCTAAAATTCACACAACGCCCTGTTTGGCCTATGTATAACATCCCGCACGTCAATGGAATTGCATACACCACGCCAACAACACACTTCACAAAAACCTTCCCATGCTTCGCCTCACACTGAAACTTCTTCTTTTTCCCAATGCGTGCACACAAACCACCCAATTTCCTTGGTGCGGAAAATACCACGGACACTCCAAACCTGAACGCCACTTTTTTCAAGCCATGCGCTACACGGTGCGTATAGGGCAACACCTGTGGTATCCTCTGCTCTGGACCTGTCTGTTTGGTTTTCTTTTTTCCTTTCATTTTTTGTAGTAACGTTTCAGCAACAGCTGACAAAACAGAACTGGGAAAGCCAGCGTTTTTTAGTCTCTCTATCTGGGCGTTGAAGCTCGTCTCAAGCATGTGCTCACATGACTTTGTCAGGGCAGATTCAAGGCAAAGAGAACCGATGGCCCTCTTTACCGTTTTAGAGTGTGAAGAGTTATACGGTAACAGCTCTTTCTTTGCTCTTGGCGAATACATCCAACACACGTTTCCATCACAACATCTAATGTTTATGTCTAAAAATTGGAGGCTATTGTTCAGCGGCACCTCATGCGTAAAACTCAGGCCTTTCCCTAGGTTTTTAAAGTAGCATAATACGCTTTGTACGGTGTTGTCATAAGTCAGATTAAAATCAGCTGCTAAAACTACCAAAAAGTCATCCACGTATCTAAAAATTTGCAGGACAGTGCCTTTGTCAAACGTGGATTCTAAATCCCGGTCAATGGAAGATAAAAAAATATTACACAGCACAGGGGCAACGCAAGATCCAATGCATATCCCTTTCTTTTGAACAAACAAGCCTGAGTCAAAGGAAACAACCTTTTGGTTATTTTTTAAAGAGCACTTAGCTTCACCATGTGACCGTATGAGTATATATACTTGAGCCACGCATATGTGAATAAACAGTTGGTAGTCTGGCCTCTTTCCTGTCTCCTTCTTCGTTTCCTGTGTGCGTTATTTTATTGGCCGGAAGTTTTTCATCTGAAGCAATGCACCAACTAGCCCAACAACGAGTATTATTGAAATATCTCTCCAACAGTGCATCATGAAACTTGTCACAAAACACTGTAGTTAGCAGGGTACATTTGACATCGGCCAACTTATAGGATGCAACTGGTTGCTCAGATTTTTCGTACCAAAACCCCGATGCATTGAGACGCGCCGTAGTGAGGACCCCAGAATAATTCTGACCACTTAGAATTCTTTATAGCTTTTAAATCTGAGCGCACAATTGTTCTTCTGCATTTAGCCCCATTGAGATCCCGCTGTCTTGTCCGGAAATCAAGCCCATGCTACTAAACTCCATATCACGGCACCCTGCATACTGTGCTACTGTGGTGAGTAATCCTGGTACACAATAGACGAGTGCTTTTGCCTTTTTTTGGTTAATAATAAACAATAGTATTAATACAACTACACCTTTGCAAGGAGAAAATGCATGCAACAGCTTTCCGCAACTGATGCCTGTGAGTGACAGCTGGGCCGCCACTGTTCGCTTTTGAGCACGAGCTTGCCTTGAGCACTCAAATTTTAGCAACATGATTGAGATTTGTAGTCTCATGCTTGCGTTGACATACGTGAGCAGTTTTTTCAACAGCATCAATATTAAGAGCGAAGGTGAAAACAAAGTTAGTCAGTTGGGCGAGATGGTCTGCCGTGTGGCTGTTTACCTGCAAAACGTCCTAGCATCATGTTCCCTATCTCGCGACAGCAGAATCTTGATCATACCATTGCGGCTGATTTGAATTTTCGCGATAATACGAATTTTAAGGTAATTTCCAATGGACTTCGTTATATTGAATGCACCGTGATTCGGTGTTATACAAACAGTTTTCCCAGTCACCATGAATGATACGAATGCGTGATTGGCTGCTACACGCGGGCAGCGAATGTGGCTTGACTGTGGGAGGAAGGTCCGATCATGCCTGGTCTTGACAAACTCACGGGCTCATGTGACAAAACTCACCACACTTTATCTAGCTTTGCCACCTCAAAGTGACCGAAAACTACGCCATGAGTCTGACATGAAAAAATTAGTCCGAGACCAAATTTTCTATCGCGGGTCAACCAAGTCGCCTTCCCACCTCATAGCTTATACTGAACCAGTGCACCAGCTCAAACCTAATGATGTAAACAACCAGCCACCAATTAAACATAGCCGCGAAGGCGTCGGTGGTGGTACGCTACAGCAGTGTGCTTCAGCACAATTGAAAACTCAAGGCAATCTACAAAATGCAATCAGAAGTCAAAGAAATCTATAAAATGAATGACATATGTATGTATCTATGTATGTATGTATGTATATATGTGTGTGTATAGAGAAGAAGAGATATCTGTATAGAGAAGAAGACGAACGTACGAAGTGATTTTATAGACGTTTCGGCCGCGGGTCCGGCCTTCATCAGAATACAGTTTATGGCACTGAGTGCATTTTATATACATGTGCATGTCAATAAGATACAAATATGAAAACCGGCATGAAAGGCGATATATGGGCATATATATATGCAAGTCACACGATATGAAGGGCACCTAATATACGAGTAAAAAGATATTGCTTCCATGCGCGAGCACGTGGCGAGCACGTTGTTTACAAATAAAAGATAAAACCCATAAAAGATAAAGCACATAACATGAAGAGTAGTTCGACCGGTAAAAGCAAGGGGAAAAAAGAAGAAAACTATAAAATGCTAATAAAAAATGACAAAGACGTTACAAAGCTGCTACGTAATCAACGAATACAGACAACGTAGTGCGACTTGCTGAGCAAGGTTGAAAAAAGATGAACAGGGTAATACAGGTTACGCAGATAGGCAACTAAGTTTTCCTACGTTTTCATTCAGACCAGATGCGACGGCGTCGAACTTATAGATGAGCAATGATTCACGGGCTTCTCTATCATAACTTGTGCGGAAACCAGATTCTAGTAATGTGACCTGTAGATTTTCAAAAGAGTGGCCAGGGAGGTGCACGTGTCTTGAAATGGGCAAGAGGAGCAAGGTGTTAGCATGAAATTTATGGTTGTTAAAACGCAGTCTAAAAGGCCCTTCTGTTTGACCAATGTACTGTATTTCACATAGCGCACATTCTATCATGTGTATCACGTTCTTAGAATCGCAGTCAAGATTGCCTTTGATTTTTAAGGAAAAGTTGGAACCAGTACTAGTGACCTGTTGGCATGTGCGCATGTACGAGCATACTTTGCATCGCGGTTTTTGGCAAGGATGGCACCCGATCGTGTCAGGACTGTCTGCTTTCGACGATAATGATGATGAGAGTATGTCTCGAATAGTTTTAGCTTTGCAATACACAGCTTTAGGTGGTTCGGTGAAAATGGTTCTTAAGCGTTCACTTTGCATTAGAATATTGTGGTGCTTTCTCAGCACATTCAAAACACGCGGAACTGACGCAGAATGGGTAAGGACCAAGTTTGTCTGCGGTGAGGGAGTTGAGTTTTTAGCAGCGCACAACAGCGTTCTACGATTATGCATGTCGGCACGTTTTATTGCATCATCAATTGATTGCGGCAGATATTTTTGTTTGACTAGAGCATCCTTTAGTGCTCTGCAATTTTTTTTGAA